TCCGGAACTCCAAGCGACGCCCCCGGTCCGACAGCCGTGTAATGTCTTCCAGGCCGCGGCTCCTTCCAGAGCCGGGAGCGCCGCGCGCCTCCCCCGGGGGCTCCACGCGGCCCCCCACCCCGGGCTGCAGGAGGGAGTGGCGCCCCAGCCCGAGGCCCTGCGGGCCGCCCACCTGCCGCTGCACCAAGCGCCAGAGACGGGGCGCTAATGGGCGGGTGGCCGAGGTGCCAGGCAGGTGCTGGCACCTGCAACCCGAGGCGCTCACTCTTGGAGCTCCAGTTTGTTGGCGGGGTGGGGAGCGGGGGTGGGGGGGCGACTGAAAGCGAGGAGCCCCTTAGCTTCAGCCAGACCGAGGTTTAAATCTTGGCTTGGCCACATCGCAGTTAGTTCACCTCTCGGACGATAGCAGTAGTAAGCGTACCTTCTGACTCAGGGTGACCCTGTATGGCTTCCTGGGACAAAACCTCTCTAGGGGCGGACAGTTCATCTTTCTCTTGCGTAGTAGGGCCTTGTGTGAGCAGCCCACCGCCCAGCCCCACCCCTGCCCTTATGGAATGACAGTGTGCCAAGGAGCCCGAGGGGCACGGTGGGTTAAGCACTGGCTAACTGCAAGGTCTGAGGTTCGAACCCACCAGCCGCTCAGTGGTAGAAAGAAGAAGCTGATTGCTCCTGGAAAGATTTCGTTTGGGAAACTGGAGGGAGCAGCCTACTCGGTTCTCTTGGGAACCCACTCTTGGGCCATGGTGGTGTCCTAATTACCCATTGGGCTGCTAACCAGAAGGTCAGTGGTTCGAAACCACCAGCCACTCCGAGGGAGAAAGATGAAGCTCTCTTCTATAAAAAGTTACAACCCTGGAAGCCCTCCGGGGCCAGTACTACTCCGTCCAATGGAGTCGCTATGAGTCAAAATCAACTCAATGGCAGTGAGTTTGAAGGTTTAGGGAGGGAATCACCCGGACTTCTTGCTGTCTGCTGCCCAGCACTGCTAAGCAGGTGAACCATTCAGTCCCCGTGGAGGCAATCCGTCTCAGGGCCACCCCGCACGGGTCAGAGTGGCATTTGCTGCATCTGGTTTGCAGTGGTTGTGACCTTTCAAAATAGACTGCCAGGTCTTTCATCCGCGGCGTCTCTGGGTACACTCGAACCTACAACCTTCCCATTAGTAGCTGATTGCTCGACTGTGTGTGTCACCAGAGACGCCAGCCTAAGAGTGGGGAACTACTGTTGTCCTCATCCGAGAGAGGAGGACACTGAGGCTCCAATTGCGTGGCCTGACAGCACATCTGTGTGATCAAATGGGAGCAAGCAGAGGAGGCCCCCAAGGGCGACCACTCTCCATGGTCTTCTGGGGTATAGTTTATTGTGCCAACCTGGCCGATAAACACATGTGGGGTTAATTGAAGGGCAGAGAGATAAATGGCTTAGTGAGCCTTACCTAGCTAGTTCTCCAGTCTCTTGCTTTGTGATGGTCGGACCAGGATGCAGCTGCCTTAGCCAGTTCCCTGCTTCAACTGACAAGACTCACTTCCTGCAAGACATCCCCAAGGAGAAGCCACATGGACCTACCCCGATGCAGCCCTGGGTGCTGCAGCAGCCGTGTGGAGACCCCTGCCAGCGCTGAGATGCTTACACGTTCACTGACTCAACTTTCCTCCTGCAGTCGGCACCATTGCATCTGTTTTGTGAAATGGAAGATGACTTTGTGAATTGGTGTCGGACATATGGGTTAATGTTGGACTTGTGGGCTTGGGCAGCACAGGGTTGGGATGTTTTCTTGATGGGCATTTAACCTTTATCTATAAAACTCTCATACATGAGTTTCTCTGGATTTGTTTCTCTAAAGTACCCAGACTAACACACCTTCTCTCTTCCCAATGAGGAAAGAGAAGCTGGAGGCTGGTCCCGGCCCTGCCCGGGGACACGCTTCTCAGACCCTTTGACTTCTTCACCACTACACCCGTGACTCCTGGGAACATCAGGTGTGGAAGGGTGCAGAGCAGGAGCGGGGTCTGCCCTGTAGCCGGAGCCTCGCCCCTGGGGGACAAGCTTCGCTGGCCTGCTGACCTAGCCTCCATGGTGGGGAGCAAGAGGAAAGAGAAGCCAGACCTGGAGAGGGGCCCTGGGGTCCTCACACACTGTCCCCTGCCCCTTCTGCACCTCCCTGGATGTTCATTCAACATACAGAGGTTGAGCACTTCGACCATCTGAGTACAAAGCAGGTGGAAACTCCTGTGCTACTAAAGCCTACTTCAGGGCGATAGAAGGCGCCCCCACACACACATACCACCCGGAGCAGCGGTTCTCAGCCTACCTCAAGCCGAGACCCTTTCAGACAGTTCCTCATGTGGTGGTGACCCCCCCCAACCATAACACTATTTTCGTGGCTACTTCATCACTGTCATTTTGCTACTCTTATGAATCAGGCGACCCCTGGGAAAGGTCATTCGACCCCCCCAAAGGGGTCGTGGCCCACAGGTTGAGAACTGCTGCTCTAAGGGATCCAGTAGTAGAGAGTGTCCGTAGAGAAACGCAGGGGGAAGAGAAAGGCAAGGCGGGCAATAAGGGTTCGGGTAAGACAGCTGGCCTCTGGGGGGGTGGCATGGACGTGTGTGGTGAGCGTGGGTGCAGGGGATGGCGGTGCAAGGAAGAGTGTGTCAGACTGAGGAGATAGCAAGGGTGTGAGCCCCAATGGGGCAGCCCTCCTGGGCACATCCAAGGGTAGCAAGGAGACCACGTGGCTGGGCAGCCTGGGTGGGAGTGGGACAAGGACTGGGGCTGGGCGGGCTCAGCTTGTGGGAGGGTCTTGGCTTTTCCTCTGAGTGGGCTGGGAGCCCTGTGAGGCTTTGAGCAGAAGAGGGGTGTGACCTAGTTCAGGGGGCTCCGTGGAGCAAGAACAGGAAGCTGATGAGGGGGAGGAAGAGGACGAGGGAGGGGGCTGCTGCAGCCATCCGGCCCCACCTGGTAAGTGGGGGGATTGGAGCAGGGTGGAGAGCAGTGGTCATAATCCAGATGTCATTTGAAGATGGGGGTCCCTGGGTAGCAGGACCCCAGTGGCCCCAGCCTTGGGCTTCCTCTCGCCCTTCGTGAGACTTCACCTTGTGGACAGCGCCCTGGCATGCAGGGAGGAGGTTGCCCAGGGAGTGGGGGTGCCTCTGTAGAGAGCCTGGCTTCCCAGGAGCGCAGTGAGGAGGTACCAGCAGAGACACGTTTCTGACGCTTCCCTCAAGGGCCACCTTCACACTTGGGCCACTGTGGGTTTTAACTCTATTGCTTTTGGTTTTCAAGGAAATGTGAGCTGTTATTGCTGCTGCTGTTGTCATCGTTGGGTGTCACCCAGGGGACCCCAACTCATAGTGCCTGTGTTTGCAAGCGAACCCAAACCTGCTTGCCATTGAGGCGAATCCAACTCCCAGCCACCTGCGCCCGGGAGTTGGAGGCTGCCAATCACTGCAGGAGCAGATATCCTCTTCTTTTGGCCGCAGAGCAGCTGGTGGATTTATAGTGCCACCAAGAGTCCTGCTATCAGTCCTATAAACTCAACATGTACTGCCATCCATTAAGAATCATAGGGACCCTGTAAGGTGAGGTAGAACTGCCCCTGTGAGTCTCTGAGATCATAACTCTTTTCAGAAAGCCTCATCTTTCTCCCACAGAGCAGCTGGTAGTTTCAAACAGCTGACCTTGGTTGCAGCCCGACAGGTCACTACAATACCACCATGCCTCCCACAGGAGTCAGAGCTGGGAGGCTGGGAGAGAACTAATTATATCCCTCTCCACGTCCTCACCTTTGTTCCTTCTATTTAATTAACAGAAAGCACTTATGATGTGCTGGCCCTGTTCTAAATGCTCTCCCAACGAATGTCACGGGTCCTCACAGCAACCCTGTCTGTGGCTTACCGTGACCTGGCAGATCAGGAGCCTGAGGCTCAGAGACTTGACGCCCCTTTCCCACAGTCACACAGCAAATGTGAGGCGGAGCCAGGATTTAACCCCAAGCAGACCCTCTAGAAGCCCTTCCTTCGGCTGCCTGCCAAACTATCCGATCCAGAAGAGTCTTCAGCTAATGTGAACTTAAGTGAGCATTTACGGAGTACCAACTGAAAGGGAGGTCATTACTCTGTTACTCCCTTGCTCAAACTGCGGATCAAAGTTAGGAAACAATTCCAAGCTTCTTCCCATCAACCGTCTAAGGCAGTGGTTGGCAAATTTGCCCTATTCAGTTCTACAGGTACGTACATGTGGCTCTGAAGTAAAAGTGAAAAGAATTAAAGGATTCAGATGATGGCGAGTTCATCTGTTTGTAAAAATAGACTTAGGGTTTAGGTGGAGAGCAAGTGTTTTGAGAATGATGAGGGCAATGAATGCACAAATGTGCTTTACACAATTGATGTATGTGTGGATTGTGATAAGAGTTGTATGAGCCCCTAATAAAATGATTAAAAAAAGAATGAAAGGCTTCCACATATGTTTTGAAGCACCCTCCTATTAATGGGTTAATTGAATCAAAATATGTAAAGCACAGGTGAAAGTGATAAACACGCCCAAATAAAAGTGATTGGGTTACACACATGCAAAAAAAAAAAAAAAGACTTAGGGCCCTCGAATAATTTTTGAATTGTTGTGAGGTGCAGGATAGGCTCTCCATCTCAAAGTTTGCCGACCCCTGTCTAAGAATTTGTCCTTCGCCCACTCCTGCCCCTCTCACCAGGCTGGCAGCCTTCCAGTGGCCCACACTGTCTGACCTCAGGGCCTTAGCACTGGCTCTCTCCCCTGCCTGGAACCTCCTTCTCCTGATGCTCCTGGTCTCAGATGAGATGCCACGCCCTAAGAGGGATTTAGCCTGATTCCCACCCAGCACTATGCCACCCAGCCAACCTCCCACCAAATTCTTATTCGACTCTGTCCTTCACAACACATACAGGTTTTCTTTCTTCGTCTGTGTACTGGTCCTTTCACCTACTGCTCCACCGGGCTGAAAATTCTGTGCAAGCAGGGCTTGGTGGACTAAGAAGCTTAGTTAGCATCTGGGCTGAAGAACAGGTTGAGGGGAACCCCTTAGGGAGTCCCCAATGAGGGAACTGATGTGTCTGCAGTGCCCCAGAGGACAGGGCATCTCCAAGCAGATCAATATTATATGAGGAAAGATCTTTCATCCAACTCAAGTGTTCAGAGAATGGAAAGAGTGATCATGAGGTGGTGAGCTCCCCGTCACAGGAGCTAAGCA